AATGGTTCACGCGCATTATGCGCCAGAAGAGACGAAGCAACGTTCACACGTTGGAAACGATGATCATCGGAGAGTTCGTGAGACACCCAAGCGCCTTCTTTACGGAGTTTTCCCACATTCCTTAGATGTTGACGTATTGTTTAATGAGAGACATGCAATTTCAGGACCATTTCACTAGTGTGTTGCCTTGGGTTAGACTCAAAAAGTGTCTTCACAGCATCAATATGAATGCCAACATGTCGGCCCCAGCCATCACAGTTTTTTAAGGCTAAAGTCACCTGAACGAAATTTGCTGAACCATCATTGATACTTACGAATGTTCAAAACATTTCCATAAACTTATTTGATATTCTTTGTGTCTAAAGAAGCGTTTTTTCCCTTCTTGTGTTCAAACAGCATTACGTGCCGAATGTGTGTCTCGTCGTGTGCCATTACTATAGGGGATTACAGTATACTAAACTTTACACATTAGATGGGCTACACTAACGTGACGTTTAAGCGGTTCGTTTAACTATTATACGTAATGTACGTTTTTAGGGGGTGGTAAATGAGAGTGTTCCAAAACTCGACATTAATTTCTTGACGACCTAATAGATAACTTTCCACATCAGTATTCGAATGCATTAGTGGGAATACTTTTTTACACTCTGTGAGCCATGTCCTTCTTGACTTACGATTTGCATATTCAAAATAGTTTTAACTTAACATTCTCAGTCCTTTGTTTATATACTGATAGCATTGTTTAATGTTTAATTTGATTAATCCCAACAGTAATCTTAGTGGTTAATGCGAAACTATTTCATTGCGGAAAAAGTTTCAAATATTTATCTGTTTTGTGTTGTGTCTGAAATTGTATCTTAGTTCAATTACATTTATGTGTTGTAAAGCACAAAGCTACACGATGTATTATCTGTGGGTACCTAAACTCGATTTTTAGCATTATAAACCCTCAAGCTTACTGCTCAGCCAGCGGGAAGGGTGAGTGGGTAGATCACAATTTGAGAAATCGAATTATGTACTTATTTCAATGGTCATGTTGTGAAAACGCAGATTTAATCATCTACTGATTCTGTGTTTTCGGAGTTGCTTCAGTGTTTGATTCTTCTGTAAGTTTAGTTATGTGGAAATATTTCCTCCTGGTGGTGATCAACTGATTTTGACGAAAGTGTTGACTATCAGAGCTGCCTAAATGTTGGAAATCAGGCAAATTTAGAGTGTTTGTAAATACTTAAGCACAAGATGTGTCAAATTCATCATGAAATACATTAACAAATCCTCAATTCATGTCATATAATTATTCATGTTATACAAAATTGTAACTTATAATGGTGATCTAACATCATTATGATACTTAAGTCTGATGGAAGACTTAAGAACGATGCTGACCTCTAACTGTCATTCATTGATGGAACATAATAATTCCTACATTACTCTGATTACATCAGCCGTAACCATTTGACAGACTATCATCACGTACGTTATAGTACACCACACTCCAAAAAATATGTTACTTTAACTGTTTTTTAGTACTTGCACAGCACAGTAAACCCAATTTTCCAATTAACGAATATGGAATTAAAATATATATGTGTGTATATATATATATATTGTTTTCATAGATAAACTTATTCAACACCCTTCCACTAACACGTAACTAGCCAAATTACATTTATGACACAATTCCCTCAACATAAAAAGACGCGAAAATGTTAAAATACCCTATAAAAATGACTAAAAGTATTTTTTAATCTGAACAGCATTTTAGGGTGAATATTTTGAACTATTATAACAAACAAGTTGTATATTCAGTAGATAGCCTGGACAAACTCGTGAAAAAGTGACTAGACCACGCAGTGACAGTTTCTGGATAACCTGGCTATTTGATATTGTCAACACCCTGCCCATGGTGCTCGAAATGGGCTTTAGACAAAATGAAGTGGCTGTCAGTGTAGAAACGGTAAGAGCAAGATTCAATACCTAAAGTTATTGTGCAAAAGGACCAGCTATTTGTTGAGTAAATATATTTAGTAAAGGATGCAGTTTAAATGTTAGATTTTAAATTATTTAAGAGAAATTCTAAGAGTCAGATAAATTCTATTAAATAGCTTGTTTATACAGGGAACTTAAAAATATAGGAAAATCATAAAAACATATAAATGAAGATTACTTTATGCTGGGTAATGTTATCAATTACTTTTAAGCTCTTCTGTAAGCCTCATTATGAGGTAATGTTTTCAACTTGTTGTAAAATGTAAGTTGAGACGTTTCGTTATTTTACACTTTATTGTGATCACAACTTAATATAGGTTCGATCTCTTTTGCCGTGATAGTAGCATGAACTCAGCCTAGCATCAATTCCACAAGACCCTACATCCGTCTAGGAGAGTGGCATGTAAATGACTTATTCATGCAGAAGAAGATTACTTGTAGTTCACCCATTAAGTAGAGTGATACGTAAGTGCTTTATAGATTGGTTTGGTTTGAATTTCGCACAAAGGTAATCGAGGGCTATTTGCGCTAGCCATCTCTAATTTAGCAGAGGGAAGGCAGCTAGTCAACACTACCCACCACCAGCTCTTGGGCTACTCTTTTACCAATGAATAGTGGTATTAATCGTCACATTATAACGCTCTCACAGGTGTAAGAGTAAATATTTTCGGTGATCGGAATTCGAACCGCGATCTTTACATTGCGAGTCGAGCGCCCTACCAACCAGGTTATGTCAGGCACAACTTATATAGTCGTAACAGATAATATTACTTGTAGTTCATCCGTCGAGGACAGTGATGTGTGATTCATAGATGTAAAAAAAGGATTATCTGTAGTTCATCTGTTGAGGAGAGTGATGTGTAAGTGACTTATAGATGTAACAAAAGATTATCTGTAGTTCATCTGTTGAGGAGAGTGATGTGTAAGTGACTTATAGATGTAACAAAAGATTATCTGTAGTTCATCTGTTGAGGAGAGTGATGTGTAAGGTATATATATAGATGCAGTAAAGGATTTCGGTGGCAAATGTAAATTCAAGTTCATTCTAAAGACCCGATGATCTTTATGTCCAAAAAATTAAAATTGCTGTAGCCAAAATAGTTTTCTTCAAGATTTGAGCGCGCTAGACTGGTGCAATATCGTGGAAGAGCCACTATTCAATAGGGTGAAATATGTAGAGTGGACATTGTTGGTTGTTGTTGTTCGTCCTTCGAAGTTCGAAGAAGACCACGACATCATTTGGTCTATCTGTGG